GTGTGTGTGTGTGTGTGAGAGAGGGAGGGCGGGGGGGAACGGGGTTCAGTATAGTCCTAAAAACTGTATGCTATTTATTTCTGGTAAAATTGCTAGAGATTTTAAGATGAGCAAGATATATGACTCCTCCTTAATTTTTGTTCACTGTTAACTGGCTTCCTAAGTACACCTGGTATGAAAACTCCTTTGCATTTTCTATGCCACATTAAATAGAAAAGGGTTCTCTTTCCTCCTGATCAACTTTTTTTTTTAAAAATTAAGAAACTCTTTACAACATATGACAGCTATTGTTCTGTCAATATACTCTTCTGTTCTAATGCTAATGACATTAAAATGTAAGTTCCAGAGTATAAATCATCTTGCTCTATTTATCTTTTTCAACATGATTTGAAAGCCAGAATCAAATATACATGTTCACATGCAACACTGACATCCATATGATACATTTACATTCATCTGTTTTGGCTGTCTTGCACTTCTGACTGCATCTCTGGATTTTTTCTCCTTAATCCAACATCTCATTCCAAGAGCCAAAACCCAAGCAAAGTCAAATATTTTAAAATTACCCAAGCACAAAAACTCTTCTTCCTTAAATATGGGACTTGTGCCAAATATTATTTGGCTCAAGTCCCAGGTTGGGCAAAACTGACTCCTGAACCAGGAAAACAGCATGATTATATAGTTTGATATATTACAGCTGTGAAAGTCTAGAAAGGATTTAGATTCCTAGGCTGCCTGTACAATGTGTGGGAAGAGTTAAAGAGCTAATAAAAGGGGTGCACAAATCTGAGCCACTGAGTGGAGAGTTACTAAGGAGAGGGATATGCCTTAAACCTTCCTCCTCAGAGAGCCTTAGGTTATGTCTGTACTTGATATTACTGTGCCAGCAGTACAACTCATTTTTCTGGCCCACCACCACATTAATGTAGGTACACCACTTCCAGGTTGAGAGATAGTACACGCAGGGCAGCGCAGCATGTTTCAGCATGATATTAGCTGGTATGATAAGTGGGAGGTATAGCTGTGTCTTTATGCCAGGCTGCAGGGAGATGCCTCTCTCTTCTTGGGAGTCATAGCTGTTAGTATCTTCCAAGTCACTCCTTTTCTCATAAAGCCTATGTCATTACCCCTCTATCCAATCAATACTATTCCAGGAGACCCTGGTTCAAAACCCTCTCCAGCCTGAGGGAATTTCAGCTTACAACGTCCACATCCTAGGAGAGGAGAGTGATTTAATCACTAGGGTATAAAGCATATTGTGGCAGGGATTTTCTCAATCTTTCCTGTCCAATTTTACATGGAATAAGTATTCTTTTGACGAGGGGGAGAGAATGACTCTCTAGCTTAGAGGGCAGGATGCTCAGGAGAAGGAAAACCTGAATCCTAGTTTCTGATTCAATAACTACTCAAAGTATTTGATATTAAATATTCATTAGAACAGCAACTACAAAGCCCAAGAAAGTACTCTCATCACAAAGCTAGGTGGTATTTTCATACTGATTCCTGTACTACTCAGCTCCGCTAACCCTTTGCACTACTCTTCATATCTTCATAGCTATGTTCTTCTGTATCTTCTGTTTCCTAAAGCACAGCAACAGAAATCCTGTCATAATGTAGAACCACACTACATTAAAAGATAAAAAGGAAACCCTTGCTTTTATTATTCAGTGCTCTATAATTCTCAAAATAGAGCAATGGGAGAATGTTGCTCTCAATACAGCCAGCAATGCACCCTCCATTTTTCATATATTAGCAAGACTATTCTTCATATGTCTTTAGCATAAAGAATTGAGAGGAAAAATTATGCCATTTGTTTTACTGCATGAAACCACCTGCAGGTATGCATTTTAAAAAGTAACTAGCATTGTTCACTTCTCTCTTTTCCTCATGCCACTCTCCACTGAGACAAGATGAGCAGTGATAGGTTGTTCTTTCTCTTGCTAAGAGGCTTCAGTGCATTTCAGCAGTGTAGTTACAGAGACTATGGTATGTTAAAAAGATCACCAGTTGCAGACTATATTTTTAGAACAACAGATGCTGATGCTTCTCTGAAGAAAGCAGAGGTCAGTGCTGTGAAGGAAAGAGCACTTTATGCTTCTTTCAGACTGCTACTCTTCTCTCAAGGAAACTTCCCAACAGCTCAGTTTAAGGCATTTTAGTCCAAGTAGAGATTTTACCAAGGACAATACAATTTAATTCATTGGTAAAAAAAAATGTCTGGAGCAATTTCTGGGAACCTGTTATTTGCATTACATATTGAATTTTAATGTACAGTGGATCTGTGACACATAATAGTTATAGTTATTTCCAAAAATCTAACCCTATGGTATAGGGAATTCCTAAAATACAGCTCCACTGGTATTCATTCTCATCATGGCATGTACTTGCTGCCAAATATATTTATGGGAATCAGATACAAGCTGAGTAGTGGTAGCAGCCCATCTCACAGCTGCTTTGGAAGCTGCATAAGTTTCAGTTAATTGTCTTTAAAATATAGTTTCTGGTCCTATTTGTAAGATTTGTACTTATGTCCAAACGCAACCAATGCTGGACTTGATCCAAAGTCTGGTAAGACAATATGAGATCCAAAATGTCACTAAGTCTGGGGAGACAGAAATGACTTTTGACATGAGATGTGATTGCTGCTTATTGTCCAAAACATGTTTATGATCTCACTACTTTTATCTACTTTCTCTTCCACTCCACTATTTTCTACACATTTTGCATCTTCTAGTTTCCCAGGCTGTAAGTCATTAAGGGATGGACTGGTTTTTTGTTTTTTTTTACTATGTCTTCACAACATCTAACAAAATGAGGCTCTGCTCCCGCACTTGGGCTACTAGGAAATATACAGTCTTCAGCTATTGAACCCATCCTAATAAGAAATCAAAGGAATCAAGATGTGTATTCAAGTGAGAGGCTGAGCAAAAAAGTAACACTGTTGCCAGAAAAAGTAGCCATTTTACCATATGTGCTCCCAGTTATAATTTGGGGCACTAAGTAACTAATAGGAAAATTTCTTGAAGCAATAACTGAATCATTTAATTTAGATTTCAGATACAGGCTATTACATGTGCGCAGGTGTTTCAGTCCAAGCCTATCTCCATCATGAGGCATCTCTGCCATCTGTTATTCTGAAGGTTCAGCTTAAAAATATTTTGTGTTTTACACATGATGACTTGAGAACATGAGAATGCACATTTAATTACATGTAAAACAGGGTTGATTTTAGCAGTTTTGCTTTAAAGTTAAATGTGTTTTTAATCATTAAGGAGGTTCAAAGCATTAAAACAGAACTGTGTGACATGAGTAATCTTCTGAAATGTGTTTGCTAGAGATGGTCCTGGAAGCAGAGAATCTGTAAACTAGTGGACACTGAGGTATAATGTGCATGATGCATTTGGTGTCTGGGAAAAATGCCAGGTGCCCTGCTATCATCCTGAATCTTTCAGCTGATCCATGTATCAGCAGCACTGACAAAGTTCACCTGTCCTCCAGATGGAAATAGCAGAACATC